TGGTATCTGTTCAGGTGTTACCTGTGTGAGAGCTCAATTTCTTTTAAAGGTTGTTCTTCTGTACTGCCATTTTCAGGGAGCACGCTGGCTCACAAGCTGCTTGCAAATCAAAAAGTCCTTCTTGTCCTGTGTGTTTCACCAAAGTGTCTCTTTAGAGATTTTGAAATTGGCAGGAATTTGTATGTGCTGTTACCAGCCCTTTCTTTGCTAGCCAGTAACCTACTCTGCTATTACTAGCTCTTGTGTGCTGTGCTTCTGTGCTCTTGGCACCCCTCTTAAACTTAATGAAAGTTGCTGAAGAATGTTTTGTTGTTCTGAAGAAATAGGAAGTAATTATTGAGGTTTTGCCCTAAGGTAGATGTGGCAGATGAGGCATTATTATTTGTAATGATGATTGAAAAATCATTTGCCATATGTTGTAAATCTTTTTTGTGTTACTCTAGGGGTGGGATGCTATTGAGTGGATAATTCAAAATTCTGAAAGCGCTCTAAGCTAGCAGTTCTCCACATCTACAGTTTGTACTAACTAGTGGTAATGCCAGCATTCTTCTTCTTGGTACAGCATTTCAGCTTTCTAGCAAATATATGCATGGATTGTTGTCATGTGAATTTCATAAATTAACCTGCATGTATGTTTGATACACATTGCATACAGGAATGGCAAACATGTTCATTACACTGCAGTTGCAGAGTGAGTGTAGGTCAGCTCTAGGCTAGACCCATTAACCTGTGCTTATGCCACTGGAGAACCAGCTTCTTGCAGTCGAGTCTTGTGCCACACGTTATTGCAATGGTTTGAAGGTGGAATGATGGCTGCAGATAGCTGGGCACGTGAACCGAGTGCTTGATCTGGTCCTGGTTTCTGTCATTTCAGAACATAAAACTGGTACCTGAAGAAATAAATAAATTAGTTAGTGACTGGAATTGGCATTATAAAAATGAAACAGAATTGTATTCTTAGGATATAGAATTGATTTCTTGAAACAGATTGCCTAACAGGGGTAATCTTTTGCATAGTGGACTTGTATTTGCTTTTCTTACACCTGAGGAATATTGTTGCCCTTCTGTGAACTTCTGTGGAAATCCATACAAAGTTGGAAACTGTCAGAATGCTCTTGTAGTTATATTCATTTCAGTAGTGATGTGTCCTTTAAGCGATGTGACCATGAAAAAATCTGACTTTCAGGCTGAGAGAACTGAATGTACTTGCCTCTGTGATACCTCTGTGCAGACTGTTTTCCTTCCACTAGTCAGTGTAGCCTGTCTCTGTCATTCCTGTATTGGCTTATGCTTCAACTAATAGGAGTCCTCAGAGAAAGAAAAAATCTATTATGCTGCTTCTCCTAGTTAAGAATAGGGGTTTTGTACACTGCTTATTTTGAGATCAGTGTATGCTGTGAGTGTTTGCTTTTACTTTCTCATTCCACTAAGCTTTTATGTCTGTTGTTCTGGAAAACGTTACCTACTGAGGCTCAGCATTTATCAGTCACTTAAGCTCTACCAGCAAATCTTCATATGCAGCATTTGGTCTGCCAAACACGTCATACTGCTAACATATGCGATAAAGACTAATATAGTATGCATGCTTGGTTATGAATGTGCTTGCTTAATGACTTGCTGCAGAATTTGTTGTACACTATGAAACTGTATAGATCAATCCTCTGTCAGATTTTTTTGGTAACTGGGTAGTGCTACAGTACTTGGAGGCTTTGCATCTGATTAAGATTTGGTAACATAATGTACTGTGCAGAATATTCCTGAAGTCTTCCTTGCCAGTATCATGACTTTATTCTTGGCTGCAAAGTACAGTATGTAGTGTATGCTGGTCTAAGGAAACCTGCAGACCTATGTAGTCTCAAAAGCTGAAGGAAATAATCTTGGTACTCCAGTTGAATGTAATGACCTTTTATTTTTTTTAATCTTACCAACAGATCCATCAACTAAAACACTATGACCCAGCTGTTTCATAGTCAGGGCCTGAAAAGAATCTCAGTATTTTTCTACTGAGCATTTTCTAAATCAAAGGTGCTTGACTTTCTGACAAGTCTTCTTTGTGCAATTAGACAAATCTAAGCTGTTGCTGTCTTACTTAGTTGTCTGTGCCTCTGTCACCTAAGAGAGGACATTTTAACCTGACTTTTAAATATCCAAATGTGTGTTTACTAAAAGATGATTCCCCCTCTCTCCCCCTGCTTTTTTCCTTATGGAGCTCTCCACTCAGCTAATTCATGGCTAGTTACAGCTTGTTGCTATGCAGTAGCCTACTCTTGTCTGGGTGCTTTCATGCTGGTGGTCCCAGGTCTTGCACAGGATGTGGAGTCAGTGGAAGTTGTCACCTGCTGAAGCATGCTGAAGCATGGTCGAGTTAGTGGTCTAATGGAAGGAACTCAGAAGTTCAATCATACTCTTCTAAGGATTTTTTTCAGCAACCCATACTTAAACTGGACAGTTTACATCATGCTTTCTTGAATATTGTTAGTATTTTTTAAAGACATATCTTGAACTAAGTTAACTTAAACATGTTAGTTCTTGAGGTAATTCTGGATAGCGCTGAATACTCCTTTCGGAGCCTGGCCAAGAGCTGAACACTTTGTTATGCTACATAGATGACTTTTCTCAGGTTAAGAACTGCATGCCAGTGCAGCCATAGCAATTAGTGTTTATTCACAGAGTTAGTCCTTCACTGAACTTTGTGAGGGTCTTGAGATAAATATGCTCTTATTCAGAGTCAAACTTTATTTCTTTTAATAGGATACACTTTGCAGCATGGAACTGGGCTTCTGATATTATTCCAGAGTATGTTTCTAGCTTCAGAAAAAATCCTTCAAGAACATGTGTGGGTTTTATTTTGACTTTTTTTTAAGTTTTCAATGCTGTTTATGCAGATTCTTGTTTGTTCTTAGTGGCTTATAAAAGACAACAGCAGGTTCTGGACACTCTTTGAGGTTTTTTTTTCACTTTATCACCTGTAATGCATGCAAAAAAATAGCACATCGTAGTTCAGAACAAAAACTCTGTGTGAGTAGAAGAGCGTTCCCCTCCTTTCCCTCAGTCTCTGCAGAGGGCTTGAACACTGACCATAGCTCTCCTGAAGACTTAACAATGTTTTGAGCTCAGACCCTTTATCTCCAGAACTCCTTCAGACATGGCCAGAGCCACGTGGCTCCCAGTTACTGCTCTCCACTGTTTGTACTTCTTATTCTTAATAGAGTAATAGAGGTGAATGTCCCTTGGCTTCTCTTTAGGTGAAAAAAGGCCTGGTGTTTTCCTGGTCTGAACACATCTGCTTGTTTTGGCAAAAGCTGTCATTCTGAGATTGTGGAGCTCTAAAATCTTGCACTTTTGTTTGGTTAAAGTGCTTCTCTTTATTTTCTTGGTGTCATTTTGCAGCTGTGTGTTCGTCTTGTGGTTACTGAGGTGCAGCTGCTACAGCCTTCATAAGACAAAAGATTTTTGACTGACTTACTTCCTTTGTTGGATTCCTCAGCTTTTACTAAAGCATTGGCTGTCAGTGCCTGGCTTTGAGGCACTCCCATTGTGAGAACTGAACAGAGAGAGGCTCTGCCTTGATACAAAAGGTGTGACTGTAGCCTCCCAATTAGTCTGTTTTCTATGCTGAAAAATGGCTGTGCATGAATATAGGACTCAGTGTGAGTCCATCTCTGAACTCCCGCTAGAGATCTAATCAGTTAGTTGCTACATCAAAGCACACTGGGACGACTTTCTTTGTCCAGGATCTTCTCAAAAACTGTCCATATAGCTTGACTAATGAATCTGAGAACAGTATCTCGATTTTGGTATAAATTTACTGATATTCTTTGGGTGGTGGGAGCAGCAGACAGTGCAAACGGCAGTACTCCTGCATAAGTGAACGTAACTGCTGAATCAGGCTTTTTGCCCTGGTGCACTACTGGAAGCTCACACCAGTATTGCATTTACTTCTTGCCTACGGGTTAAGCAAATGCCTTTACAATGAAGCTTCCATAAGAAGATGCTCAGAAATTATGAACATAATCTGGTATCAAACTATGCAGGACATGGAATTAATTTTAAAACAAGTCTCATGTCTGACAGAGGAAAAAACTATAGAAATGTGAGCAGTGGTGGTATATCTGTTCTGGTCCTAAATTCCAGTATTTTTCTGGCAGGGTCGGGATGCCCTGGAGTGGGTGATCAGGAAACTAAACACAGAATTGGAGGATCTGAAGTCAACGCGTGAGGGCATTAAACCAGCCATGGCAGCGGCATCTACAGAAAAATAAAGCAAAAAATACCAAGTAACTGACGGAAAAGTTTTCTTTTGCAGACTGCTCTGTAGATCTCCCTTCCAAGGCTGATCTGCAGAGGTTTCCTATATTTATAAGAATATTGGAACAATGGAAAAGTAACCTCATCCGTCATCTCCACAGCAGCTCCTGTTGCCTACTGAAGATTAAATTGACCTCCTGCAGATGCTCTTTTCATTTAAACAATTTATTGTTAACACTGGAAACAACATTTAGCACGTTTAAAACTGCCTAAATGTGCCTTTTATAACAAAGAGAGAGAGAATGTTATATTTACACCATCTCGGTTTTTTGTACTCAAACTTGAAAAGAATGCATGTGTGGTATTAAGGGTTTTCCATGGGAATATTTGTTCTGTGAAGGGCTCATAGGTACTAGAGCACTGAATTTTGTCTGTTTTGTAATCTGATTGTGTCTTACAACCACTTAAAGGGAACTACATGAGTCAGCACATAGATATCTAATTCTACCATATCATCTAGAGGATCATCCTGAAAAGCTGAAACTTGTGTGGTACTGACTTTCCCTCTGTTGTTTAAATGTGCTGCCTGAACATGACACACAGGTACTTTACCTCTTAGATGTTTGTATCCAAAGAAAGATAAAGTTTCTATTGATGTTAATAGCCTAAACCAGTTTTTTGGTGGGGAGAGAGGTGTAATTTATTTTCATATTTATTAACCTGCCCTAGTTCCTCTCCTCCCTGTGAGGAGAGGAGTAGTAATTCCTGGAAGGTGCTGGAAAATACTTCTCTTACTCATCTCTAAGAAGGGTACTTGTAGGCTACTGGAATGAAGAGACTGTGCTGTTCCACTGGTCTTTGCTCTTCACATCGTGTCTTAACTGAAGGAGAGACTGAGGCAATAATCAGAAGAGCTGAAACAAGAAATAAGTAGGAAATTTGAAATCCAAAGGGTAAGGTTTCAAGAACATGTACTTTTCATGCTCTGGATGGAGAAAGCAAGCATACAAGAAAAACAAATGGACTCTTCTTTTTGAGTGCTTTCTACTAACTACTGACTACCAGTGCGACTGTCTTTTTTCAACACTTTTCCACATTGGTACAAAATAGGTTTAGGATCATTTTAAATGCTTCTGATTTTCTGGAAAAACACTCCAGTAACTGCAGAAATGTGCATAAGTATGTATTGGTAACAGTCCTAGCCTTGTCTGATGTTCACCAAATTTCCTTTTCGGTCCAGGTTTAGTATACGTTTCTTAGACAGCCCTCTGTCAGGGCATTTGAACTTATTTTTTGGTGTGCACACAAAGTGAAATAAATGTTGCAAGAGTGTTTACTCATTGAAGTGGCAAGCGTGTGTTTAGCAAGCTGTTAATGAGCATGAGTAACTTCTAAAAAACTAGAAGAGCAAAATGTTGGTCACTGTTTTGATCTGGTAATTTTAAAGTGTCTGTAGCTTAAGGGAAATTTCAGCGTTCGTATTCTGGTTAGTTTGAAACTAATTTGGGTGTAGCTATAGTCTTGTTAAACTACATGGTCATAATGAATTAATTTAAAATATAGATATATTAGTTGAAAGCAATTAAATGAGTAGCTAATAATTACATTGCTCTTTTTGTATGGACCTAAAGCCTTTTTTATTTTGGAACAGAAACTTGGAGCTCGAAGGCTGATAGCAGCTCCTTTCCGGAAGATACGCTGGATAGCTTTGGTGCAGGTCAGTTGTGCTGCTCAGAGGAGTGCTGCCGCTTCCTGGATAAAGAATGCAGAAGATGTCCTAGCTCCTGGTGGTCTTCTGCTAGGGAGGGGAGTGCAGCGGTGGCAGAGCTCTGTGAATGAAAGGAAAAGATGAGTAAGTGTGTGTGTGCATGTGGAAACCTGTGCTACAGCGTTTCCATACGTGGAGATGATGATAATGCAACTGTTGGGGGCAGAGGTAGAAAAGTCTTTGGGGATGTTCATGTATTGCTTTGGTTTGGAAGACTAATTGTCCAAAGCTGCTTCTTGCATCAGATTTGAAATAATTGCTTAGTGTTGTTTTAATGCCAATTGACTTGCTTATAGCTCCTCCCAGCACCAGCTGGTGTCCCAGAAAAGTCACCACAGGTTTTGTTACTCTGTCTAGAGCTGAACTCCTCTGCCACACCTTAGGGTCAGAACCAGTTACCTCTCAAGTTTGCTGGAGTCCTTTCTTTGCACTTTGTTTCCTTCTTCCAGAAACAAACCTTTGCCTGCTTGTGTTGCAGCATCTCCTTTCCGTTTAATTCCCCACTGGTTTTGGGCTGCTTCTTCTTCACATTTTGGGCTACTTGGGAACTCTGTTGCTGGATGCTTGGTTGTCCAACCTGTCTGCTGCTTCACTCGCCATGGATCAGCACCTTGCCTGCTTGGGCTCTGCCCTCTTCTGCTTTTCTCTGGGCTAAATGGAAGTGGGGAACCTTTGAGTAGGAAAAAGACTTCATTTCTTCAAGAGGCCAGTTCCATCACCCAGCTGCCTCTTTCTGCTGCCAGACAGTGGTGCTGCTTCTCACCTTGTCCTTGGGGCAGGTGACACTCCTGCATCTCTGGGCTTATTGATCTTCCTGTAAGGGGACTGTTTGCAGTAAGTTTGCAGATGACACTAAGTTGGGAGGGAGTGTTGATCTGCCCGAGGGTAGAAAGGCTCTGCAGAGGGACCTGGATAGGCTGAATCAATGGGCTGAGGCCAACTGGATGAGCTTGGAGGAGACTTGAGGGGTGACCTCATTAATGTTTATAAATTTGTAAAGGGTTAGTGTCAGGAGGAAGGAGCCAGGCTCTTCTTTCTGATGTCCAATGACAGGACAAGGGGCAATGGGTGCAAGCTGGAACATAGGAGGTTCAACCTGAACATGAGGAAAAACTGTTTCACTGTGAGGGTGACAGAGCACTGGAACAGGCTGCCCAGACAGGTTGTGGAGTCTCCTTCTCTGGACACATTCAAAACCAACCTGGACGCATTCCTGTGTGACCTAGTCTAGGTGATCCTGCTCTGGCAGGGGGGTTGGACTGGATGAACTTTCAAGGTCCCTTCTAATTCCTAATATTCTGTGATTCTGTGATTTCTCATTTTGCCAGTGTGTACAAAGGACCTGGCAGGCAGTGGTCACACTGGGACCAGGTAGGCTCCAGTGTTTAGCAGATGAAGTGATTCTTAATTTCCCATGAGCTTTCCTGGACACATTCACTCTTCTGTGCTCTGCCCATCTAGTTTGCATACAGGACTCCCATCCTTCTTCTCCCTGGACCATGTGACTTCTCCACAGGATCTGATGGGACCTATAGCTGGATATTCAGGCCTGCTGTGCATAACGCTGGTTTTGAAGCACTTTTCCCCCTCCAGTTCTGCCACTGTTTTAGGCTGAGTTGACCCGTGGGGCTAAAAAAACCCCTACCTTTGGAACTGCTTATCTTGGTCCTTCCCTTGGGAAAGTCATCCATCTTTATTTGCTGGAAATGGCTGATAAGTATTTCTGAAGTCAGTTTTACGTCATGTGCATCGGCTGAAGTGTCTGTCAAAGACAGAAAGCTGCATGTGAGGGGAAAGTGTTAGGCTGCTTGTGGGAGCCAGGGGGCTGTAGCTTTTTTGGATTGGTTTAGAAACAGCCAGGTACACAGAAGGAAAAAATTATAAAGCAGAAATGGTGTTAAGTCAACACTCATTAACTTGGAAGGTCCTGAAGCGCTAGGGACCAAGCAGAAGAAAGCTCAGCATTTGTACTCATGCTGATTACCAGGTAGCAAGTGCCATTTGGAATATGAATTCTGCACTTTGAGAGTTGAAAATAGAATGAGTTTTGTGTGTTGGAGGAGGAAGGTTGTTCACTGCTGCTGTTTAAGCCACTGAGGCTTGGAGTTCAGTGTTTCTCAGCCATTAGGTTGCAAGTCAAAGGAGAGGGAGTAGGGGGTACATATGTGGGGAGATGGTTTGGGTGTACGGATCGAGTGCCAGTGTATCGGGTTTCCAGACTGGTCAGAGGTCTGGCCACTCACCCTGCCCAGTACCTGCAGCTGTGTCACACACCCCAGCTGAGGAAGGACAGAGCTGGGGATGGCTGGTTCCTGCCTGCAGGGGAAACAGTGGGAGAAGGTGGCAGCGGTGGTTTCCTGAGTGTGGCAAACTGGGCATGTTAGCTCTTGACCCTGAAGGATTTTAAGATGTTGAAGACACTAAACTTGAGGTAAACTCTGGCTTCTGGTTGATGTCTGTTTTTCTTGCTGACACAGACAGGCTCATGTTCGCATCAAAAGGCATTAACTTGAATCAGTGTAATCAAATTGTCTGGTGTATAATCAGGTTTGTGCAGACTAGCCTTTTATTTTTCTTTCTTTTCTGCCCTGCCCTTGTGCCAGTATGTCGTGTCACCCCCATGCTCACCCATACTTCTTTCTTCTTTTCCCCATCCGCTCAGCAGGCACAAGGGGAAAGGATCGCATTTGCTGGGGAAAGGGGCAATCCTAGGGTAAGTTGCAGTATTCTTGAAAGACTTAACGCAAGGAAAGGCACTGAACGGCAGCACTTGGCATGTATCAGGAACTGATGTATAGCACACACCAGGCATTGATGTACGTGATGATGTAGTAACGTAGCACTAAGATGACCGGTGCCATTCCTTGATGCGACACTTTTCATTTAAATCTTCAGGTGGAGCAGTGGGTACCACCTTTCCTGTTCTTGCATCTTCCTAGATTGTAAGCTGTGAAAGGCAGGACTCTGAAGTGTCTGTGTACACTGTGGTGCTATCTTAAATAAATGACATCTTCGGTTTAAAAAAAAAACCAAAACACTTCTGGGTGTAACTGCTGTAATATAAAATGGGCTGTTGGTTTTCAGGGAAGGATGTAGAAAAATTTGTGTTGGTCTGTGCTGGGTAAGCAACAGGACCCAGAACCAGGCTCCCTGGAGCTCACTGTAAGCCACACACTCTACTGGTCTAAAGCTCTGCAGGGGGGTCTCCTGTGCCTGAACTGGTGACTCCCATTTGCATCTGGCACTGCTTCATTTTGCAGTAAAACAGGGATGAGCCATCTAAAATGATCAGCCTTGCCTTGTAAGTAAGACCTTATCTATCTAAGAAATGGTATTTTTACCCCACCAGCACTCCTTGCCACTGCTCAGAATCCTGCAGGTTGTGGGGCAGCCTTTTAATCGCAGCTCCAGGAGGCAGGGCAAGCTTTTCCTATGAATGTACACAGTGAAAAGGCATTTTTGTGAACCACAAGTCCTGTTCTCTTAATGACTGAGGTATGATTCTCATTTTATTGGAAGGCACCTGCAAGTAAAATCATCAGTAAGGGCTCCTAATCTGGGGCCTTGCTGGTGCAATATTT